AACAGACAACAGTGGAGAACAGACAGTGGAGAACAGACAGTGGAGAACAGACAGTGGAGTCCTGACGTTTACTGAACAGTGGAAATGGAAACCAAGTGGGGGCAGATGGAGGTCAGCTGCTGCTGCTCACAGCAGAGCTGTTTTTCCTTCCTGGTTAAGACCAGGCATCTTCTTGGCATCTTCACAGATGACTGTGGAAAAGGGATCAGAGTCAGTCAGCCATGCAGTTTGGTTGCGGCTGCCGCTCTGCGAGTTTTTACTGGGTGCGGTTCCTCCACCCTGAACCACTACAGACGAAGAAAATCAACCGCATATTAGAAGAGACGCTCGAGGCAGATAAAGTGAAAGGTGTAATTTAAGGTCTGACTCTGCAGGTGAATTCTAACAGCAGTAGTATGGAAATGTATAACCATCAATTTTCATACTACAGTAATCCTTGATGCTGGGAAACCATAGCAACCACGGTACGGAGTCTATACCATAAACTGCAGATCAATGTGTCAGCAACTTCAGATGATTCATTTATATAAAGGACAGTTATCTATATTCATGAATTCACTCTGTACTGCCTAATCATTTTTAGAATCACAGGAGGGGGAGGGGGAGGAGGGGGAGGGGCTGGAACCAATCCCAGCAGACAACATGAAACAGTGGGGTTTCATCCTGGACAGTTTGTCAGTCTGTCCCTAAAATTAGATTTTTCCTTTAAAAAAAAAATTACCGACTTGAAAATGTGCGTTCTCTTTGGTACGTTTTTACCACCGATCGGTTCTATTTCCCACTGGTTAACAATTCCAGACATTAGGGTCCAGACCGACTTAAGAAAAAGGGACAGAGAACATACAGGTAGTGGACAGTGCGGTCCCCAATTTCCTTTTTTTTTTTTTGGTACCAAGGACCGGTAACACCACAACCATCGTTGAAGAATCATTACATTTTTGAAATAAAACATCTTTTAGACCAGGGGTCGCAACCATTGCTGAAGCTGAGAGTTGTTGTTTGATACAGAGTTCCCCAACAATGTGATAATAATCAGTTCTGGGACAGACAATAGTTTTTGACTCTCTTGTTGACTAGTTTTATTTTTAGAACATACCCCGCGGGCACCTTAGTCTAGTCTTAGTCTTAACTTAGTGGTTAAGGAAGCGGACTTGGGTTTGGAAGGTTTCAGGTTCAAGTCCACACAGCTGCCAAGTTCCCACTGAGGTGCTCTGAGCGTGGCACCGTCCCCACACGCTGCCCCCCCGGACGCTCAAAAAGCTGCCCACTGTTCACTTTGGTGCCGGGTTAAAAACAGACGT